TCTGGACTCAGATCTCTAGATACCTCATCACTCTTCCTCTGGACTCAGATCTCTAGATACCTCATCACTCTTCCTCTGGACTCAGATCTCTAGATACCTCATCACTCTTCCTCTGGACCCAGATCTCTAGATACCTCATCACTCTTCCTCTGGACTCAGATCTCTAGATACCCTCATCACTCTTCCTCTGGACTCAGATCTCTAGATACCTCATCACTCCTTCCTCTGGACTCAGATCTCTAGATACCTCAATCACTCTTCCTCTGGACCCAGATTCTCTAGATACCTCATCACTCTTCCTCTGGAACTCAGATCTCTAGATACCTCATCACTCTTCCTCTGGACTCAGATCTCTAGATACCTCATCACTCTTCCTCTGGACTCAGATCTCTAGATACCTCATCACTCTTCCTCTGGACTCAGATCTCTAGATACCTCATCACTCCTCCGCTGCTCCGATACAAGTCCGGGCTGCGGTGGTTTGTTGATACATGTCGTCTTCTTCTGTTTGCTTTAATCGAGGCTACGTAGTTATGCAGCGCCCCATCGTCAGTAAATGGAAGTACTAAAAGAACCCCCTTTAGTGCAGTTATTTCACAAGTTTTGTTATATACACAGCTCGGAAAAAATATTTTTTTATTTGTAAAAATGTCAGTTAAAGCTTAAAAGAATAAAGATATTTTTGTTATCTAAACGTTTGACCTCTTTCTTTTACAATTTTGGAATCGAAACAGGGAATTGATAAGAACCGGAATCGATAAGCAGAACCGGAATCGGAATCGATACATTTCAAACGATACCCATCCCTACTGACCATCTTTGTCAGAAGTGTACCACTGGGAGCTTGATCGGTTGTCAGCCTTTTCCAACATGGTTAGCTTCCATCTCAGATTCTTGCTTGCTTTACATTTCCTTTTTTCCCCTTAAGGGCTGCTTAGGCCCATTTGAGCAGATGGGTAGCAGGGAGTCTGAAGGCTAGCGAGCTCAAGATGATGGCCCAGTGACATGCAGCTTGACATATGAAATTGACCCACGCCCAGCAACTCCTCACATATGGCTAATATTTTGTACCTGGCAGACAAATATGCAATGCATACGCTATTTATATGGTATTTTGTTACAGTAACGTTCACTATAACTGGTTTCTTCTCACTGCTCTTAGTTTTATCGTTGGCACCATCAGCTTACCTAGCTAGCTTGTGTTAGGCTAGCTTGAGTAATAAACTGCTCTGCTGTACCAAAACAACGCTCCCGCCTGAAAATCCCATGGGGCAGTAGATGTGTAGATACCTATATGGCTCTCACAAACACCTCTAGAAGACAGATACAACATTCTTAAACGCTTGATTGCCAAGAAGATTGCCTAAATGTCACTTTAAGGTACAATTAGTTTTGTTTTCTTTGCAGTACCTATTTTCCTCATCACATGGTCCACTGTGTGTGCTGTTTTGGTTTCCTGTCAAAAACGGTATAGTATGCAAGCTTGGGAAAACAGCAGAGGGGAAGCACAGGAAGGTTTGGAGGGCGCGAGGGTCAGTGTGTGTTTGATGTTGTTGAGACAGCGTTAGCATGTTTATCATGCGTGTCAGAAAATGGGCTGCTTTTGAGCCAAATTATAGCTGACTTGCTTAATACTTTCACATTCATCAGCAAAATCCCTCAGACAACAGACAAAGAGTTCATTTGGCTCGTGTTCTATAGTTAGACCAGTCCGTCTCCAAGGAAAATAATGTCACCACCAATATCAATAATAATTTGTCTAATAAAACAATCAAATATATTATTTTTTGATGTCAAACAAGTCGGATAGGTGTATATGGTGTACCTGTGTGCTCAACAGAGATAGAGAAAGCACAGAGAGGAAGTCTGTATGATAATTGTGCAGCTCTAATTTGAATATGTTGCACAGCAGTTGTGTTGCTTCCCCACTGACAAACAGACATCCACTGTTGCCGTTCAAGAGACAGGGGAAAATGCTGTGTGCACGTTTACCTGGGTCTAAGATAAGTCACTACTATGGATGCTCCGATCGCCGGGATCAGTATCGGCAGATGCCGATCCGATCGAGTGGGCGGGGCCTATGGGGATCTTCCATTTAAAGTGATGTTTACAACTCAGTTAATGGGGCTCATTCACTGGCGCTTCCACAAACAACAACCAACGTAATTATTACATTCAAATGAAGTACATTATTCAAGTTTACATTAACTTTGGATAAGAACACGGGAGATTTGCGGAAGCTCTCTCTCTCTCTCTCTCTCTCTCTCTCTCTCTCTCTCTCTCTCTCTCTCTCTCTCTCTCTCTCTCTCTCTCTCTCTCTCTCTCTCTCTCTCTCTCCTGACAGCCTGTCAGTATCGTCTCATGCAGCTCACTGATCCAGTATTGAGTGACCCGACAGTGAAGAATAAATATATTTAACTAGTTTAGCTTGTTCCAGAGGTAGATAAAATAGCTAAGTGTGTTAGGTCTAACTCTTATGCCCCTTTCACACCAACATGGTTCCCGTTCTAGCTCTGTGCTAGAGCTTTTCTGGTTCGGAACTGGTTTTTCTTTTCAGCCCCCTGTTTTGTTCACACCGCTCAGAGTCCGACTGGTGCTGCTGCGTCATGATGTTACCGTTTACGTTGCTGATTTTCTCCCCAACGTCGTCGGTACTGCTTGTTATAACTTTCATTTGCCGTACTACTCGCCATAAACTGTTATTGCTCAGGTTGATCCTGCCCCCGCCTCCGACGTAAGCGTGACGTATGCGGTTCTTGCTTCTAGGCCGAAAAAATGTTGGTGCTTGAAAAGCTCCGCTGCGGTGTGAACAGGAAAAAACGGTGCTTTTCAGGCTCTAGCTCCGAACTGGCCCTGGAACCGTGTTGGTGTGAAAGCCGCATTACTGTGTGTTTTGCTACGCTCACCGGTCCGTCACAGCGGGTGGAGCTGCAGGATTTCTGCTTCACACACGTTGCATACCGCTATTTTATTGTCATTTTCGGACACCTTAAAATACTGCCAGACTGGTGAAGCCATTTTGGCGAGCTTGTTTTGCCGCGCACAGAGAAAAGTCTCATGTATTTTTCGTCATCATTTTACCTCAATTTTACCTTAAGTTTCTAAGTGTGTGCTTGAGAGTGTGCACTTATGTGTAATAGATGATTATGCTTATATGTGAATTGAGCAGATGTGATGCCTTATTGCCAGGAACAAGGAGTATTTAATTAAGTGTTGCCAAGGTTTGAACATTGAGATGTTAAAATAAAAGTTTTACAATTTACTAGAAGTCTTATCCCTATATTTTTAAATGTAGAATCTGTCTTTGTCTACCTGTGAATGTACAGTAAGACCAACTTCAAGATGGTATTGATTGCTTTTGTCCAGCTCCTAGTATTAGACCCATGCACTTTCAAAGAGCCAGTTGACTACTTGGCATCCTCAGATGATGCCTTGCTGTTTGTTTTTTCTACATCAAGGCAGAAAAGCAATGACTTTGACTTGATCTTCCAATCATGCGTCTACATTATCTTCTCTTTAATCTCAGGGCAAAGATTAGTCATCCCAGTCTTTGTCACACACTGCATAATTCCAGCACTCCCCACGGGCCCGACTGCTTCTGGGAGTCTTCCAGTTTGCCATGTGGTTGAACGAGAATCGCAGCAGAAGGTGAACCTTAATTGCTGTTATTGTGCCAGCGCTCCTCCTGGCCTATATTTGATTATTCAGACCAGGCCTATCTCATTACCACAGTTGAATAAGCATGGCAAATGATCGGGCTTCATTTCATGGAGAATTGGGGATCTTGTCAGTGCCAGTCTGTTTGTGACTGTACCACCTATTTGCCTCATTAACTGTTCCAGCCGGAGCTTGTGTGGCCATCTACATATCTTAGCCTGGCCTTCATCCAGAGGACATGAAATAATCCTAACTAACTAATTAAATGGTGACGGAAAGCATTTTGAGAAAAAGTTGTCCCACAAATGTGTATCTTCAGTCATGCTTTGGCTTCTGCTAAAAGTGAAGAAAATCCTGGGAATGTGACACACTCCTCATCCCTGGTGAACAACATACTGTAGAGCAGCATATGCATCTGCTGCAGACAGCTTAATAATCCAAATACGAGGGATGAACATAAGTTTAGTAGCACATTCATTTGAGATCCTGTTCAACAATGTTGGTATTTGTACATGAAATCTTGAGATGAAATGTCCTGAAAGTATGCCGGTCCACTTTTGACCTAAAGCAGTATACATTAAGGAGAAATCTATTTATATTGTGTGTAGAATTGTTGGATATATACACACTTATTCAGGCAATGTGAAATGATCCCCTGAGGAGGCAAAGTTATTTAATAACACTTCCAAAAAGCCTGTCATCGTTTCTCTAATGTTACCAGGTGAGGGGAGGCTGAAGTTGAGCAGATAAGGAAGTGAAGTCATTTGCCTTCATGTAAAACAGATCTAGTCTGCACAATGGGAAACAAGTAGAAAGCCACAAGTGATGCACAAATGTGCAAAAGTCATGTTTAACATTGTCACTTGAATTAAAGAGACATCAGGTCACAAAACACCTTGAAATCAAATAAATACTCTCACATGACTGCTCTGAACTGAAGTACTACTGATAATCGGTTGGAAACAGATCTGTAGTGGCAGTTTTGTTTAACCTTGATAAACACTGACAAAATCAAACATTGTTCTTTAAATGAACTCAGCGCGACCTTAAGTTTTGAATGACTGTTGATCGAGAAGATATTAGATACATTCTGAGATAGAAAATCAAGTGAAAATGTTTATTATGACCAAACAAGTAGCATCATATAATTGAGTTTGAATTGTTGTATCGTATCATTTACTGTATTGCTGCCATGCCACAACACACATGAAAGAAATCCCCCAAATGTATGAATTCTAGACGTAACTCCTTTGAAGATACATCACGCTATGCCCACATCCACATTTAAGGAACAAGGTCTGGTGTTAAGATGTTCTTGACATTGTTTTTTCTCTTTTCCACAGATATCATTGACAAGAGTGAACTGAAGCCGTTCTTCGAAAGCAACTGTTCTCAGATATATTTTATCTTCTATGAAAATTTCATTACACTGGAAAGCAACTTAAAACTAAAAGGTAACTGCACATTTTGTTCTTCTCTTTTATGGTTTACTGCTCACTCACGAGTTGACCAACACCCAGGATGACGGTTCAATAATTAACCCTCTCCCTGTTCTTTATGGTATGCATGACAACAAGGGTGTATATTGCTCTGCCCTACATTTACAGAGAAATTAGCATAAGGAAACACTGTCTGGTTATGTCCAGTTCAACTCTAATTCTGATAAACTCTACACTATTACGAGTAATGGGGTAATTCCCACTGGGAGTATGCTCACACAAGTTCCTTTGAATAAGTGTTCACAAAATGGCCTGCGTTATCGATGCATTATTGATGAGGCTAATGCAGTCTACCTCCTGGCTATGTGTTTAATAGTCCTAAGTACTTTCCTTGTTTTTCAGGGAACAAATCACAAAGGGAGGAGCTGGACTCTATCCTCTTTATTTTTGAAGTAAGTCATCCATGTTTGTCTGTGTTACTGTCTCTCTGTCGGATTTCCACTACAGCCTCCACCTGTTTACTGCTCCACTCGGGGGCGGGACCCTAGTTTCCATGGTGCCATGCAACTCTGGCTTCTTCCTGAATTTGCCTCAAATAGCCTGGAAATCATTTTAAAATTGTGCAGATACAAAAAAACACCTTTGCTCAATCATATGTTAACTCTTAGGATAGGGTTCAGTCTATTTCTTTTTTTCAAGGTGCAAATGAAAATGAAAGGTCTCGTGTCTGAGTGTGCAAGGCATTGTTGGTTTTACGGGCCCCTCCCCCTGTTTCCTAAACACTCTTATGTTGCACATGCAGGTTAAAGTCCCCCACCTTGTTTTCCCACCTGACTTTAAAGGCAGCTCGAGTTTCTAACACAAACAGCCAGCTATCCAGTTTCATTTGCTCAGGGCAGGGCCGTTAGGATGGCAGCAGAAGGGAAACAAAATGGTTTGTCCCTCTTTGTACAGTGTGTCGTTGTCCTAGTTTTTCTGATCACCTGGGAGCACTGTGCGGCAGTGTGTCTTGTAGAAGTCTAACAAAGACTAAGCAATTCCAGTTTGGAAAGCACAGAGGATCTTTAGCTTTGGATAAAGTCCCACTGGCTAATTCATCTGTCCATTGTCTGCCTTTTAGATATGGATTCCTACTTTGCTTGTAAGGCATCTAGTACGACTTAAATGTGTTTTCATGTTATGGTTATGATTAGATCTTCTTTGGTTCTGCTGATGTAAAACTCAATTGTTCAGGTTTGTAATGTATGGCTTGCCTAGCTCTCTGTTTGGAAGGAGTTTTTAATAATTGATGAAAATGAAAATGACCATTAGTATCCGTGCTTCCCGTCTGTTTAAAATAAAGAGCTCACAAGATGGCCCTCCGGTTTCTCCTCTGCTCAGCATGACTTTCTGTGCGCACACATCCTGTCATCTAACCTGTAAATAAAGCCTGGATTCATGCCTACTACATATTAATAGTCCTAGAAAAAAAACCTAATATTGAAAGCAGCTTAACCCTCATTTGTCCCCTTTTAGCCCCTGCCTGAGACAACGTGTGCTCTCACCCGTGCCCCGAGCAGATAAGCCTGCTGTGAGTGGTGTGTACAGGACAGATACAGGGTGGCTTTGATCCGGAGCTCTGCTGCACTCCGCATACTTTCTCCTTACGCCACATTAGATTATGCATGTTGGATCTATGTGCTGGTGAATATGATATCAATGGATACGTTTGTGCTGGCAAACATGCACTACTAATGCACCATATTGTCACAGGGGTTATATTACGTAACACACAGACGGGACATACAGTATGGGGTGAAAGATTAACAGGGTTTTGAGGCAGGGCATCCGGATCGCTTTCCTGCAAAAAACATTTGTTAATTTATGGATGTATGGATTTTAAATCCAATTGGTCTAAATATGTATCGCTTATTTTGGTCGCAGAGGTCTTTGGCTTTTGTCCAGAAAGCCTCGGAGTGAAGAGAAGTTTTTGAATAGACACCAGCTGAGACAAAAGAGGTTTTGTGGCTGTGTGCTTCGCCACACACTTCAGTGCGGTAAGATGTCATCCTGTGTAAGAATTTTCCTGGAAAGCCGCATTAATGTCCTCATCTCCCCAGACACAAAGGGAATACAGCCCCCTGTGCTCTTCTTCACCTGAGTCCCTTCTTGCATTCAGATGTGGCTGACCTATACAGTACACGTCTCCGGTGTGTGTGCTTGCATTGAGTTGGCTATGTGGGGATTACTTGCATGTGACCCCTTTTTTTTCATTCGTTGCTCTGGGGGTCTCTCCCTTGTTTGATTAATGGATATCTAAAGGGAGTAACCTTTTGTCTCGCCACCTTAAACTCTGCTGGAACACCCCACCCCCACCGCCACCAGCCGCCATCGCCATTTCCGTCCAGGGTCCCTTTGTGTCTCCTGCTATGAAGGCATCCACCGTGGCAGCGTGTGATGCTGAGAGAGAGGAGAGACCTCTGTGAGAACAGCAATCAGAATCAGAAATAGTTTAATTATCCACGAGGAAAATTGTATTTGTGACATTTGTTTTCACTTTAGAATAGAATAAGATATGATATAAACATTTGAAGTAAACATATGCTATTAAAGATGGATTTAAATGTATAAAAATAAGCCATGTCCTATACAATGGAGAGAAACTCCCTCTGGAAGGAGCTTAGGGAGTTTAGCCATCTGTGTGCACAGAAACCTACATAACACACTACAGGAAAACCCTGATAAAGAATAATAGGGCCTCTTTAAAAAGATCTTCTGTCTCAGTGACCCAATGTGAGAAGACTGCATTGCCTAAGTGTTTAGCCCCCTTTACTGTGACACACCTAAATCATTACTGGTGCTGCTACAGTAATTTGTTTAATAAGTCGCACAACCAGTTCAGTGGAGAACTGTGTAAAGAAGGTGTGACATATCTGTATGTTATTCTACCATTGTACATGGAACGGCTTGTTACTCACGAGTCACTTCCCTGCCAATAGCTACCTTTGTATAGAGTAGACAATCAAACTAATTCAGCTACAATGCTTATCAAAATAATATTTAAAAAATAAACATTTCAAGGCATATCCCTCAGACTATGATAATGTAATTTAGGAAACTGAGTGTTAGAGAGGGATGGGCAGTAGTAATAGGAAGCACATTGTCAGGGCTTGATGTTTGAGCTTGCTGTTCATGTCTGTGTTTGCAATGTTTTGGAGCATCAGGGTAGGCAGGTGTGTGAGACAACGTCGTTTGATAATGTCTGTCTCGCTTTGGCAGCCATTCATATAGTACAGTTTGGAGTCGAAATGCATTCCTGTAATCTTATCTTATGTCTTCTCTTGCTGCTGTACAGATAAGTGCAAATGTAAGTAGGTAGTGAGAAAGGCACTGAGAAGCTGTTTCAGACTCACATCAAGTCATGCATACTTGATGTGAGTCTGAAACAGCTTCTCAGTGCCTTTCTCACTACCTACTTACATTTGCAGCAGGTATGTCTAATTCCAGGAATGAAATCATATTTCAAAACCAGATTTAGCTTCATGGCTTAAGGGACTGCATGTTGTTGACCCTCCTGTATGACTGAAAATGACCGCTAACTGATCCTGGTTCATTTGAGGTTGTGAGACAGGTTAAAGGAGCGCTGTGGGACCAACAAAACTCAGAGGGAAGTCTGTTCATTCCCACTTTCTCTCCAGGATATGACCTCAACATGACCCGTTGTCCGTTCTCCGGACCTGACTCAGCATTCTCAATTCCCTCGTCATCCTCTGTAAAAAAAAAAAAGCCCCTCATCTGGGCTTGAGACTTAACTTGTTGAGTTGCCTACTATGGGTATTTGTGTTTATTATATGTAGCTTTTTTTAAACGTATGACTATATCTTTAGTAAATTCTAAATTGGTGCTTGGTCCTTCGATTGAATCAATTTATGGATTAGTCAACACAATGATCTTAGTGTTAGTTGACTTCCTGTAGTCGAAGAAAGCCATAAATCAATGAAACTCTCCTACATGGTGCTGAAAGATGAACCCAGAGCCATTGAGCTAAGTGATTCCTTTTACTCCCGGTTCCCTCTTTATGCAGACCCAGCTCTGACTGACAGTCCACCATAGGGGGGTTATTGGTTAATGCATAAATGGTAATTCACTAAGTGTAGCTCGCCTCTGCAATCGCAGCAGGCTGAGTAAATGAATCTTGATGAAGCACCGCTTTAACCTGTACTTACCCTTCAAACACAAACCCATTTAAGGTTCAGCCACACATCTGATAGATAACTGATGATTGTTGTCACATGTAAGCACTGATTTATGAACGTTTTGTGCATGCATGTTTATCAATGTCTGGCTTTGTTGGCTTTGATGACATGGAATTTAGGTTTCTTCCTCTTTTAAAAAACTGTTCCTCCATAAAACACTTTCAAATTGTTCCTGGAGGAAACCTGCTGTTGGTTCAAATCGAGCAAAGAGTAAACACTGAGCTGAGGCAGTCGGAGCGCACTCTGCTGCTGCCACCTACTGGTTACACAGGAGAATTACATCTATTTTAAAAGTGTTGCTCTTGGTTCTTTGTATTTTGGTAAATAATTCCATTGTAGAAATCGAAAAAGTGCTTCAGGCTTTAAACGTTGTTATATTTTAGGTTCATATGAGATATGTATTGTCAGCTCGAATGTGCCCAGACCTTTATCATCAAATAATGAGGGGCAAGCGGAGACATTTGTTTAGCACTCTGCAGTGTTTGGCTCTGTGCAGAATTTTAAACAAAGCAAGTGTGTCTTTCCTTACACATGCATGTAAGGCCTAAAAGTATATATAACAACTTTCCGTCTTAGGCTAAAATATCAAATGTGTTATTATATCATGCAAAGATACTATTTATTAGGAATGTTTTATCTTAATCCCTACACTGTTTGCCGGGTTTATCAATCCTAAACTGCCTAGGTTTTGTTATGTGATTAATACACCGTTTATTTTTGAGTAATAGGTTTTTTTCTTTGTGTCTCCCTGGAGAGTTCATTGTCCTTAGATGGTATAATAACAGACAAGTTGCTTCAAAAACAACACCTAAAAGACATTTGTCCTGAAGTACTGCATGTCTGTTTGTGCCATCAGAAAGCCCTTGTGGACCACCCCTCACAGAAGTGTATTCTGCGTCATGTTCAGGCCCTGCGACTGGAAACCTAAGTGCGGATAATGTAAATGTGTTAAGGCTGTAGTTGTTCCGCAGTAATGCCCCCATCTTTATGCTGGAGTACGGCTGCAGATTAGAGTAACTCCACCAACCTTCAGCCCGGCAGACTCTCCCTTCGCCTCATATCAGCCAGTAAAGTCCTCATTGTTGCGGCCACCATTCCCGCTCCGCAGGGAGTCTTTCTGAGCTGGCTTCTCCATCTCATTCCCACTCTTCCATCCTGGCTTCTCTGTAAGGAGAGAGAAACACACTGTTATTGTGTCTGCTTGCACACACAGACACACACACACAGGGAAGGGCTTAAGCAGGCTACCCTGCTGTGTTAGCGCCTAGCATAATGCGTGTGCTGCCCCAAGGAGACGGAGTGAAGGAGGCCGCTACCAAGCCTTCACGGAGATGTAGTAATCCCATACGGGATCAACCGCAAGGTGCAGCCACACGCCTGTACACGCATACCATCACGTCCGTGGATCAGAGAGAAATTGAACATCACAGATAGACATCCAGGGCCCTCCTTTAAGTGATGCATGTCTTTCAACATCTCCGCTGTCACTGATAATGACAGGGATTTACTCAGAGGACAAGAAGGGAAAGTTAAAGATGGAGGATAATGAGAGAAGAAGGATGTTGTTGCCAAACTGAGACCCTCAAACATGAGATGACTTCTGGACCACCACCGCTCTCAATGTTATGTAGCAAAGCACAGGGCTAAACATATTCATCTAGTCTTTCAGAGGCATTCTATAGTGGGAATATTAAGACTTTACAACACATTATGATCATTGTGTAGTCTGAAACTATAGAAACAGGCAAACTCATACTTACATCTTCTCATGTGAAGATGACAACATGCCGGAAGCAATTCAAAAATCTACATTATCTTATATTTTTGTTCCAATCCACAATTTTTATTTTGTGATAGCCCATTTTCTTAAGTAAGAGACTTTTCTTAACAGAGCACTCTTACCGAGCTAAGAACAAATATCGTAGTTTTCAGAACAATTTGTTTGTGTAATGCAAGGAGAAATACTAAATAATAATAATAGTATAGTTAAAGTAAGGTTACTATATGCTTAAGAGGAATTATAAAGATTTGATTATTAGAGAAATGAAATTGGTCCTTAAGAGTAATGGTTCCTTCTGAGGATGACGCTCGAGAAAACAACACGTAAACTTTATTTTTGTTTATTTTACAGTACCTTGATTTAAATAGCGTCAAAAAAAATGTTGGAGGCATTTTATATCTCCCAATATTTGGCTATGTGCCAAAGAAAATGCTGCTTGAGTGTCATTTTTTGGGGGTCTCATTTGAAAGTGTCTTTTTTTTAAGAAGATCAAACATTTGTACTCAATTGTTATCAACTTCAGTTTCATTTATTAAATAATTGTATCTATATTGTTACATCACTTGAAATACTTTTTTGTATATATCGAGCTTATAATAGCCGTCACTTGACATTTTCACGGTCTCACAAACCATAATATGAAGCTGTATTACTCATAGAAGCTTACTCTCATACTTTGTCATCCTTCTTTTTGCTGCTGCTGTGTCACGTAGCATTTTTTGGCCTGGTAAAGGACTTAATTGTTGCAGCTATTTCATGCTCATTTTGTGTCACGCTCTGTATCTGTCTCCTTCCTGTGTGTCCCTCTCCAGGCAAAGAGCTTTTATCATGCCGGCCACAGTTGCTTGAGTGCTTGAGTGGGTCAGAGCTGCATACGTAAAGCAGTAAAGGATAGACTTGACCTCTTTGTTGCAATCATGAAGTCTTATTGGGTCAGCGATTAGGGTTTGATGAAAAGTGAGCCATTTGGGCATCAGTTGCTCACAGTGCAGCGACTATTAACTAGCCACGTACACACACACACACACACACTCCTGCAACCCTTGCCTCTCTCTTTCTTCTCTCCTGAGGGATCCAGTTAACCTGTCGCTGCATTTAAGAATAATGATAGGCTGCTGAAAGGTTAGGGAGCTCTAATTGAGTTGTAAAGCGGTTGTTGGCGAGGTGATGACATTTCTCTGGGCTGTGCTGTGTCACAGGGATCTGAGCACACGCTGGGCCGAGTGGAGGGAAAGGGCGAGGACGCTATTCCTTTAGTGTAATCCTGCTCTGGCTAAACAAAGGCGGTTGTTGTCCTCTTTAATTTGGGAACTAATTATTAGAATAGTGCTGCAGCTAATAATTGTTTCCATTCTTTCTTAATCCGTCGATTATTTTGTTGATTAATCTGTTAAGTACCTGGTCCGTTAAATGTCATACAGCAAAATGTACCTATAAGGTTATGCTCATTACGTGTTGATGTTTGTATTATGTGGCTCTCAGCGACGTGCAGTCAGGGGAGGCAGAGCCTCACCTGTCATACTCATAGACTGGCCATAATACAATGTAACGGAAAAACAACTAAAGAAAAACTAAATAGTAATAATAATAAAATGTCTCCAATGATCTGTGTTGTAAATGTGATTTATGTTTGATTCCAATCGCTTTTTATAGTCAAAATCAGCAAATTTGCCGAGCTCCGCTACAACTACGGGTAGCGATGAGGCAGGGACGAGCTCTGCCTCACGTAAGCCCACAGTAACTTGCTGGAGCGCGGGCACTAATTTAGCGCGGGCACTTATTTTGTGAGCGCGCTCAAGCCAGTTACTGTGTGGTAAGGTGAGGCACAGATGAGCTCTGCCTCACCTCAGAATGCGTCACCTCACAGAAACTGGCTGGAAAGCGGGCCCTAAGCGCATGCCTGTTACCATCTCACTGTAGGTCACCAATGTAATGTTTGTAGATCCCTTTATTACATTTATCCTCGCCATCCATAGTCTCTAAATAACTTATTTCACGTATATATGATATTTAGGCTCGCCGTACAACGGCAATGAAAAAAGCACCAGGGGAGGCAGCCATAACCTCTGCCGCACTGAAGGGGGCGCACGTGAGCCCACAGGTCCTTGTTGCTACTGTTATTCTACGCAGAGACGGTATAGACGCGAACAACAACTAGACTTTTGAAACTAGAGGAAGATAAGGAGGACTTGAGGAGATTGTTGTCCAGAAGGATAGCATGGACTTCATCTTCAAGTCAAGGTAAGACCACATTGGTAATGAAAATTGGTTCTTACTAAGAAAGAACAATCCAATATTTAGATTGTGGGTATCCTTTTGTTGAACGGTCTGTTTAAAATGAATCGAAACATCAGACCAAAAAAGCTTTTGAAAATAACAGAATATTTCGATTAAGGTCAGAATATAATATTTGTAAATCTGACTCTGAAAGAGTCAGTGCCTCACCAGCCATGAACCTCACCGCACGTCACTGGTGGCTCTACTGTGACATGTTTCCATGCTTTAATGTTCAAAAGGGCTTTGTTTTTCTCACACTGCCGGTTTGCTTCATTCACCCTCTGTCTGAAAACAGAGCCCAGTCTGCTCTGATTGGTTAGCTGTCAGGCTCTGTTGTGACTGGTCAATTTCTTAGAGATGTCCCACCCCTTAGCCTATCACGTGTTTCTATACAGCATCACAATATCTTGATACTTTAACGTACCTATAATTGTGTACACCCCTAGTAAAAAATGAAGGTTAGCATATCCATAAAATCTTTATATACATATACAATATAGTTTAACATAAGACCAAGAAAACAAGCAAAATACTTTCATTTTAGACCTGGTAACGGTGGATCTTTGCTGTTTTTGCATGAAATAAATCATTTTCTGTTAATAAAATCATTAAATAATAATAAACTAACGGTAATCCCTGAAAGAAAATCTACTCAAAATAAAGCCTGGAGCTGATCAGTCCCTAGGTCTCGGTGTAGTAAGTAAATAGTGAAGGAAAAAAGCCCTACAATGTGACCTAATGCAGCCATTGTGCTAGCAATGTGCCAAACTCTACCAACCAACCCTAATCATAACTCTCTTTTTCTTGTTCATCAGAAAATTCTACAACATCTGCCCGAGAAGATCTACAACAGATGGCAGTTTCACAGTATTGGTATGTATTGCTGGCATGTTTTTCACTACCATATTAAAACCTTTGTCTCTCTATTACACCTGACTCATAGAAGCCACTGTGTTTGCATCTTTCCTCCTTCTTATGTAACCTCCAAGATACTCTTTAGGACAAATCATCCCCAGAGCCATGCCTAAGCCTTTCATAATAAAGAGAAAATAATCAGTCTTGGGAGGGGATGTAAATGTGAAATGCAAATGAGCACTTCATTTGAAATGCAAATAGGTAATTGAATTATGCTGCCATGATTTCAGTCCCTTACAAAAAAATGAAAAGGAAATCCTTGCAAGGAGCGATAACCCCAATTATAACTGTTGTTCTTCAGCCGTCGGCATCTAAACAGTGTGGGTCTAGATCCCGGTTGTAGATCAGCCTTCCCCCTCAGGCTTCTAATTCCACATATCAAGACTCATCTGAGCTCTGATGCCCTTAGACAAATTCACTACTTTGTCATTCATTGGAAAACAAATCTGCACAAGCTTAAAGCTGCCTCTTGGCTTTTTCATGAACTCGCATAGAATATTTTCCCGGGTCACTGGTCAAGATGCTCTCCTTCCACTCTGTTCTTCTGCTTTTGAAGGAGCATCAGCAATGGAGGCTGAATAGCTTCCCGCCATACCTGAGTTTGATTAGAATTGATCTTTTTTACTTCACATCATGTTTTTAATCATTTTCTTCATCCAGTCGCTCTGCTGAAAGTATTTCAGAGGTCTTGCACAAATGCCTTGTGAGGAATGACTTTAATGACTTGTAATGATTGTGTGCTTTTATCCGAGTATTGCAAGGTCAGATGTTTGACACAGACCATTAGAAGCTGGAAGAAGAATCCCCACACCTTTTTAACATCATTCTTACTACTACTTCCTTCTCTCCTGAGACTAAGGATCTCTTTGTGTGGCCCCCAGAGAAATGTTATTGATTGATCCGGTTGAGATGGGAACAATATAAGCACCAGACAAACACCCTTGTAAACTCGCACACAATAGACTTTGCTTTTAAAATAACTCTGCCACTTGTTCATTTGGGCGTCAAATCCCTCGGTTGAGTACCGTCTTAAACAAGACTTAAAAGTATGATATTTAACATTTCTGCAATAAACCGGACTTGACATACCTATACAAGGTTTGTGCAATTGCATTATCCCAAAACACTCAGAAATATCTGTAATTGTATCACGCTAACGTTGAGTATTATTTGGTGAGAATAATAGCGTCACATCCCCTTGCCCCCCCCTCTAGTTGCTTCATGGGAAAGGAGGGAAACACTACATGTTAGAGAGTGAGGAAGGAAGTTGAATATCCAGTAGAGACTTTTTAATTGACACGATAATTCAATTTCCATCCATCATACTATGAAGTGCTGCAAAGACAAGAAGATAATGCCAGCCGCCCAGATTATGACCATTCAACAAAGTTATTTTGAGTATGACTGTTTTGACCACGCAATCTATGGTGGCAAATGCGTTACAACAGCCCAACACTTTTCCATTAGGAGAAAAGCGGAAAAATCCACGTTCTGGGATTATCCAGCGCGTTTGCACGTGTCAGCTAGCGTGGCGATCAGCACTGGGCTGTTATTCGTGGGTGCTTAATGTTAGCTACAGTAGCTGTATGTGTGGGCGTCTCATCTAATGGTAAGTAAGCAATGCAACGTTACTAAAGCTCGCATTACTTGTGGCTTGATCCTTCGAATTTAATGACAAAACGTGAACAAACTTAATGAGAATTAAAACATTTCTACATTAACTTGCCCTTGAACGTAAAATCAGATTTCCGTGGCAATGTTGGTTTTTATTTGTCCCATGATCCCATGCTTCTTTACATGACATCAAAGTCAGTGTTTTATTATTGTTTTCATTGAGAGACCCATAGCATCAGAAACAACACACTGTGCGTTTGAACACACCACTGGAGAACATTCATTTTTGCCCTAGCATAATGACAATTTTATCCTCAGTCCTTTATTGAAATCTCCACAGCACACAGAGACCTCATAAGTACAGGGATGTCTGCAGGCTGTCAAGAGCATGTCATTACTCACACACACACAGAAACCTCTTCCGCTCAAGGTATTTAGCAATCAGAGCAATGTCTCATGTGATTACAGCGGAACCAGATTGCCTTCATGAATGCATGTCGCTGCCAACTGATGTTAATTTTCATCAGGAAAATGTGAAGCCTTGCCACTCTCTCTGGTTTGTCAGCCATCAAGGTCAATTTGCCACAGTGGCGATTACATGCGGGTCCTCCATAAGCTTTTGGTCTGGCTGTTGTGTTTCTGCTTGCCGTGTAGACTTCTGTTGAAAATCTAGTTTCTAACAACCTTATCCACCCTGGTCACACCCCATCCCGCAGGCCCCTTCCACAAGAAATACATTGATAATTATGTAGTAAAAACATCATAAAAAAGTTCATTAATTAATTATACAATACAAAATGTTATTCATTGTAAAAAATAAAAGAATAATAATACATTGTAATATGGAAAATAAAGAAAACAAGGAGAAAATAAGAAATATGCAAGTATACGAATAGTAAATGGTTAATGGCACCAAGGCTGCTGTAGCACTAAAGAGTCCGGGACTTAAAGGGCCAGTAACAAGGGACGTACACACAGGAACATGCACACGCACGTCTAGGTCGTACATTAATTTGTACTTCTATTTTTTCCAGGTTCTATTCTGAAAAAGCTTCTACACACTGGAAATTCATTCAAGGTAAGTGCTGTTTTCTTTCCCACGTGATGCACTACACCACTTCTCTTTTATGTATCAGTTAAAATCGTCCCACCCTTCTCCCGTGTAGATCCGCTGCGAAGGGATCCGTCTCTTCCTGCTGTGGCTGCAGGCCCTGAGGGACAACTGTGCCGAGGAGCAGTTCCTTATCTTCGCCTGTCTGGTGCCGGGATTCCCCGCTGTGCCCTCCTCCAGAGGGCCTTGCACCCTTGACACCATCATTTACAACCCCTTCTCCAACCCCCCTGATGGTGCATATGAATATTCCTACATGTTCGAATTAATAATGAGATGGAAGTCTGAAACATTCTAAACTGATATCCAGTTGTGCATATTCCTTTTAATTGTTAACTCTCATTTCTTACACTTAACTTAATCTCTTTGTATGTGTGGATCTGAGCAGCCAAGGTGGTGCCTGAGGAGATTACCCCCCTGGTCCCGGCTGTGGTTGGAGAAAAGGTTGCAGAGGATCAGACCTGTTACATCCTCGAGACTCTGCTCAAGTACATGGTCATCCAGGTAACAAACAATACTTGTGATTGGAAAAGACTACATCTCTTTTTGCCAGATTATCGGTGTGTGTTTGTTATAATGTTGATGTCCTTCATCACAGGGTGACATCAGTGGCACAGGTAATATTCTAGTGACGGGCTGCATATAACAAAGGAGGGACATGGGTTTATATGTGTTTATTGTATTTTTGCAACTCTGGCACAACAATTTCCTTCGGGATAAATAAAGCCCTATCTCATCTTATGTTTGTGGCTCATGGTTCACGGCACGATGCATAATGGGCCTCCAAAAGTTTGATTTATCTTTTTTGATCTTTTTTTTGCGTTACACAATATATTTTTATATTACTGCGATAATTGTTTGATGCAAATGATGATACCAATGTGATACCCTGCTTTGAAGGGTCTCCTAAATTGTTCTCAGCAAGGAAGGACTTGCAGGGTAAAATAATCCTTCCAAACAATGTATCTGTATTGCACCTGTATATGTAAAATATACCATCACCTTGCATACTATGTGTCTGTTGTCATGAGCATGGAGTAATGTGAGGTTGTTTGTAATCCCTTTCTTGTACAGTAAGATTATAAAGCTAAATGATTTATCAGTAGATAAGTGCGTAACATTCAAGTCTCTGAATGTTGTACCTCGGCCAAACCATTTCCCCTTCTGTGTACTGTTTGTTGGAGGAACCTTCACAGTATTGTGCACTGCAGATCTCTGAGTGATGCTGGAGCCTTCCTCTCCTCTCCCTGTAGCCTGACCTTGTCTGCCTTCTGCTCTCTGTCTGCTAGGCCTCCAGTTTAGAATGGAAGAACAAAGAGAACCAGGACACAGGCTTCAGGTTTCTCTTCAGCCTGTTCAAGAAGTACTACCTTCCACATCTCTTCCCCTCCTTCACCAAGCTCACAAATCTCTACAAGCCTTTACTAGGTAAGCTGACTTACAGTATACATGCTGTCCACTGTATTTGGGCTGAAGCCTCTTTAAAGGAAATATGTTACACACTAACTACACACTGTAGTTAAACTCAAGAGCAGCCATTTAAGCATAAACATCTCAATTTGACCATTTATATTGTGCAAGTGTTCAATGAGAATTAGTAAAAGGAGAAAATGATCTGTAGGACGTGGGGACAGTAAGCATATCATTACAGATATATTTATTGTGACAATCTTTATCATATTATTAAAACTGTTTTACATTTATATCGTTACGTTATAAGATCATTACACGCAGAAACACATAACAATTTGAAACATTATTTATGGAATAATTAAAAAATAATGTATTGTTTGGATTGTCTGTAACCTATTCAACATGCTTCTTGTTCAAATCCAGTTTTTATATTATTATTATTATTATTATTATTATTATTATTATTAAACAAGTAAAACTCTTTTGCTCTTCTCCTCTTGTCCTTCCCCTCCCTCTGTCCCCATCCCTCACTCTTCACTCTACTATATTGCTCGATTAGACCTCCCCCACCACAGACCCAAACCCTTGTATGTGCCAGTGACGCGGAACAATGAGAGCACCTTCTGCACCAGGGACCAGTACCTGTCCCCCCGCGTGGCCTTCATCACCTGGCTGGTCACCTTCTTCCTGGAGAAGAAGTATGTGAGCAGTGCTGCTGCGGCGCAGAGCGCCAAGAACGGCACAGAGGTCATTCCCAAACTCATCCAGGTGTGCACGAGAGTAACATCCTGTTTATTTTTCATTCTGTCATCGAGGAGGGAGGCTGTTATGAAGGGGTTGTTGCAGCAAAACCCTTGAGTACAAGCTGCAAGACACCTGGTCACAAAATACTGAACACACGTATCACTTAGAAAATAATTGTAAGAGTTGCAAACACCGTTACAATACTATAATACACAAAAAGGGTGTTTTATTCATGTTTCTTTGGCTTTTATACCAATTTGTATGTGAATACATGTTATGACAGTGAACTAGAATAATTGCTTGCGGAAAAGGTTTGATTAAATATATTTTAACCAAAATATTAATATCTAAAAATCTAATAAAACACACAGTTGTAGCATCACCGCTCATAATCCCTTTGAAGTCCTGAAAAGTATTAAAATACTTTACAGAAGATAAGATTTACTTCTATTTATCCCAATTTGGTAACATTTTTCGTCTCAGCAGCATGTAAACAAGGCATTGTACACAATGTGAAAATTAAAAAGAGTAGAAAATATAACATCTCAACATTTGCAGAAATTAAACAAAAGTAAACGATATATAAATATTGACGGTGAAATTGTGATTGACCCTTTTTGGCATTATGCCTTTACACTAAATTGAGTTACAGTTCTGTGGGGAGGGAAAGAGAATAATTCAATCCAGCATTTATTATTTGAATTGCATGAAGGTGAGAAAACATTTGAACAGTAATGACCAATACAGTATCAGAAAATACCATAAAACACAGATAATTGACAAAGGGAATTCTAGTCAATGAGACTCTAGTGTCCAATTACTGAATTGTGCAGAAGCGTCTGTGCAGCAAACTAAGGTGACTAATTTCTCACTGTGTCTCCATGGTGCCCAGACTGTCACTGCGGGCAGTAGCAGCCAGGAGAAGGAGAAGGAGAAGGATAAGACGTCAGATGGGGATACTAACGGGCCAGCAGGGGAGCCGGAGAAGAGCCACTCCAACAGCAGCACGCTGTCAGACCGCCGGCACAGCGACTCCAGTCTGTGTAGCATCGAGGAGGAGCACCGCTATGTGTATGACATGGTGCACGCCATCCTTCTGTCCACCAGAGACAATGTGAATTTTGTCAACGAGGTCTTCCACCAGGTACAGGGCCAACAAGAAACATGTCTTGATTTGATGTTGCAATAATGAATACAATTGCAAGTATTATTTTGGGTCAAGCAGACTGAATGAAGACACTGTGATACCATGTACTACGTCGCCCTCTGCTGGCCATTTGATAACATAGCTAAAAGATCCCTTCTATTACCAGGCAACCTTTTTCAAAACCATTCATAATTCTATAAAAGTTCAAATTAAAAGTCTATGTTTTTCCCCTAAGGCCTTCCTGCTGCCGTCTTGCGAGGCATCAGCAACCAGGAAGGTGATTAAAGTGTACAGGAAGTGGATCCTGCAGGATAAGCCCAGCTTCATGACGGAGCCTGAAGTACCAACTCCGGGAGAAGAGATGGATGGCCGCCCTGAACAGATACTCAGCTCAGAGGCAAACAGCATGCACGTACAGGTACCGAAAGCCAAATATAACAACTTAGCATAACATACAAGTATACCTGTGATGGATTATTATATTGTAAAAAAGGTCAAAAGATTGGTACCGTTGCCTTTTTTTGTGTGATTTTGCTTCCATTACTGATATAAGCTAAAAAAAATAACACTACGGTGGTGGTCTCAAAGTAGCATAGATAATCAAGCCATGACCATAACATATTTATACTAACAAACATGTGTGGTCTTTGCTATTTAGTAAAGGATGTGTCATAATATCTTCGCTATTGCCTACTGACAGTTGTTGAAAGTTACTAAATTCATTTCATTTCAAACCTTTATTTATCCAGATAAATCCCATTGAGATCATTGAACTCTTTTACAAGGGAGACCTGCTCAAGTAGGTTCCACATGAAACATAAAAACATTAACAGAACAACAAAAGGACATCTTACATCATCATCACAGGGATTACAATTTACATAACTATCCACATGTACAGGTACCAACAGCTTCCGATTGAGTAGCATCCAACCGAGCTTTAAAAACATTTAGTGGCACCAGATTGTTCAGTTTCCATTTCAGTTGCAGACTATTCCAAGACAGAGGAGCTGCACATCTAAAAGCTGTCTTCCCTAAGACAGTCCTAGCAGTTGGCACATTTAATAAAACTACAGCATGCGATCTCAGGCAGTAGCCACTTACAATTCGCCGTGAGATCAGGGAGCAGATATAGGATGGAAGTTTCCCTAACATGGCTTTGTAAATAAAAATGTACCAGTGACTGAGCCTCCGTACAGTTAGTGAAAGCAAACCAGCCCTTGCATACAGGGTACAGTGATGCGTTAATACTTTACAGTTTGTCACAAATCTTAGCGCGCTGTGATACGCAGCATCTAACTTGACCAGGCAATTGGCAGGTGCATTCATATAAATCAAATCACCATAGTCCAGCACAGGTAAAAAGGTCACAGTGACTAGCCTTTTCCTGGCCTCAAGCGAGAAACAGGACTTATTTCTGTAAAAGAAACCTAGCCTAACCCTCAGCTTTTTAAGCAGGTTATTGACATGAAGTTTAAAAGTGAGACAATCATCAAGCCAGATACCAAGGTATTTGTAACAGGCAACAACTTCAAGTTTTGTTCCTTGTGTAGTTACAATATCTAAAACATGCTCTGGTGTCTTTTTAGCTTTAGAAAAGAGCATTACCTTGGTTTTCTCAATATTTAAAAGAAGCTTTAGTTCAGAGAGCTGAGTCTGAATAATGTTAAAAACATCCTGTAATTTAACACCAGCCTCCTTAATGGAGGGACCTGCACAGTACATCACGGTATCATCCGCATAAAAATGAAAAGTAGCTTCATCCACATTTTCACCTAAACTATTGATGTAGATGGAGAATAAAAGTGGACCTAAAACAGAACCTTGAGGAACACCATTAGCAATATTTAACCACTCAGAAGACAGCCCATCAAAGTGAACACATTGGGACCTTTCAGAGAGGTAGTTTTCAAACCACCCTACTGCATGGCTGGACATGCCTATACTGGCTAGCCTCTGCTTTAAAATGCGATGATCGAAATTAACTCAAGTACAAGATTTGTACTACTTTATATTCTACTCCATCACATTTAAGAGTAGAATTACACTTCCCTGCATTTATCTATTTAATTACTTTGCAGATTGAGATTATTTATTATAATAAATAATAAAACAAATATATTTTATAATAAAACAAATATATTTTAATATCAGAATATACCAATGAACAATGTATGATATAATACAGATTTAACTATCCACCAGTATACACAGAAATTGAAATAAGCCCAACCTTTCCCAGCTTCAACATTAAAAAGAGGAAAACATGATTGCATAAATAGTTATAATCCAGGAATGTAATATATGATTTTGAAACAAAGCATTAGCGACATTGGTAGTTTACTTTAACTTTTTACACTGTTGTTTTGCTACTTTTGTTTAAGTTAAAGCTCTGAATACTTACTGAATACTTACTGCCTACTGACCAATTGACTGGTCTGCTTCCTCTTAAACCAGTCGGCAGAGAGTCTCGGCCACAGACGCTCGTCCAGCTGGGGGAGGACTTACTCCTTCAGCAGCGCCATCAGCAGGGGCTTCTTCACCGAGGCGCAGAACAGGGACGTCAAGGCTGGCATCCAGCCCACACTACAGGTCTGTCCCTGAAGATCACAGCATTTAGGAACTGGAATCAGAAATTCATACTGTATGCACGTTGACTAACTTCATCTTGCCTTTTGCTCGTGTGTAGGTGTTCCTGACCAACTCCTCCAATGTTTTCCTGCTGGAGCCATGCCAAGATGTAGCTAAACTCCTGGATAACCAGGTGGAGGTGTGCAAGGGTGTTCTCAGCATCTACCGGCACATGATCATGGAGCACACGATGAACACACAAACTTGGTCAGTGAGATATTCTGATAGTTATTCCTTTGTGATTCTTGAATGTTATTTTAGGGATTAATTCACCCTCTGGTTTTGATTGACTTTGTTCTGCAGGGAGCAGATGCTGCAGGTACTGCTGAGGATCACAGAGGCAGTGATGAAGAGGCCACAGGAAAACCAAAGAAAAGACAGCTTCGCTGAAAGTTTAGCATCTATACTTTTTAGGGTATGTCTACAGGTGCCTTTTTACATTCACTGAATAACAGGGTTTGCTATTCATCACAGGAAAAAGGGAGTGAGTGTGGATATGTCTTTGCTCCAGCGAGTAGTCCCTCACTGTAGTTCACTATACAGAACATTCAATGTACATCATTCTATGCAATTTCCTTTACAATTATGATTTGTCACTCAGTAACCTATATTCACTTGTTGTGTGTCTCCTGGTTGGATTGACAAAGAGCCAAAGAGACACTCTACCAAATGAGATGTATCGGTGTGAAGACCCTGCGGTCACATCTTATCAGGGGATGGGATTCAGAGCAGTCTGTCCATGCTAATACATCTCCTCGTCTCACATTCAGACCATCATCGTGGCGTGGGTGCGAGCCAACCTGTGCGTGTTTATCTCCCGGGAGCTGTGGGACGAGCTGCTGGCAGTGCTGTCCTCTCTCACCTGCTGGGAAGAGCTGGTGACAGAGTGGGCCAGCATCATGGACTCGCTGACGGCTGTGCTGGCGCGCTCCGTTTACGGCCTGGACATGGCCAGCCTGCCTCTGGACAAACTCAGCGAGCAGAAGGAGAAGAAGCAGAGAGGACGTGGTGAGAGGGGGGTGGGGGAATGGGAATTGGGAGTGGTAGAATTTTGGTGAAAAAATGTGTTTGAAAACTGACTTTTGGGAAGGTAATGCTGGTTACTTTTCAGCTTTGTTTTGTCATACACTTTACTTTAGGGTGGTTGTTTTTATTCTATCACTTTAACATGCAAAATGTATGTTCATTATTGTCAAAATGTTCTAAAAACAATGTAAAGAAGTATTAAAATACCCACATTTGTCAAAAATCCCCTTGCACTCGACGTCACTTGTATAGATCTGGCTGGGATTTCTGAACATGCCAGACATCTATATCTATATAAAAGATTACAATCTATGTGGCACTACAATTAAAACACAACAACTTCAAATATAAAAATGTCTACTTTATTTTCATGGGGAAATTTGTCTTGCAGGTAGAACACACAGAGACTAGACACACAGCTTCAGGTACAAAACACATATTTAAATGCATGAATACGCAAGTTACATCAGGACACCAACATTCTAATCAATGGAGGAAAAAAAGCAGAACTTCTGTCTTTTTCCAGCTTTCCAGATTTTCCATTTTTCTTTGTTTTCCACACAAAATGAATACGACATAAAAACTGCCCAACTTCCATCCATCAGTGTGCACTGCTGTCAGCCAGAGTGACACTTCCACTAGTCGTCGCCAAAGTCATTCATGTTCAAATCCTACACAGTGTGGATTTGACAATGAGCTCATTCAGATACAGCTAAGCAACAAGAACTTTAAGAAAATGGGCCGGATCAGACATTGACAGCTACTACATCAGTGTGTGGGGTGTTATTACTACAGTGTTTTAATGGCTATAATACCATAATCACTATAACGGTTAACCGTTTTGCATGCCAGTCGATGTTGTTGGTGCTAAATCCAACTATCAAGCTGAATATACATTTGAAATGTACACTGACACCTCATGAATCAGCAAGTGTTGTTCTCTGCTTGCAGGTGCGCTCCAGGACTCCCAGAAGGCAGCAGCAGTGGCGCGTTCCTTCTCACTGAGTCGGAGAAACCAAGGGGAGCAGGGCGTGCCGGGGGGGCAGGAGCCCATGAGGATTCGCTCCGCCACTACGTCAGGAGCCCCCGGTGTAGAGAAAGCCCTTTACAATGTTCGACAGAAGGCCTCCGGTGAGTACCTGGGGTATTAGTAATAGCATTAGTATCGTGTTATATTATATACCATCATAGCAGGCAATAATATAATACAAAGCTTTTATAAAACCCACGGTAAGTATGATTCAGTTTTAATCCTCTGGCTTTGTGTGGGCCTACAACAGTACTGATAAGCCCTCGGAGCGCAGCATCAGGTTTTATCAGACGTATTGACAGGTCCGTGTACACGCTGGCCCAGGTGTCGCTGAAAGGCCCAACAACAAAGACAAAGGGGCCAGCAGATGGCCCCCATTGTTCCCCCTCACATGTCACCGGCCAATGTCAACATGTTTCAATGTCAGCTCGATTGCGGGCATACAGCACAATCCCTCCCCTCCCCCACTGACAGCATGTCAAAGGCCAGCTTTGGACACTTATTGTCATTACCTCAATTCAGACACAGCAAACACCTCTTATCTGATTGGAGTGTGGCAGGCTAATTATAAGTTGAGCTGGAAGGCAGTAGGGTAGTAACTAGCTGCAGTGCCTGTCTTGCTCGTCTTAATTTTGTCTAGACAGAATCTTAATTTGGAGGATAAAAGACGGAGACGATGCCTTTTCCTTTCTTGGCCTTCCGCCTCCCCAATTACCACCGAAGTACTAAATTGACGAGCTTGTTGAGCTAAGAGCAGATGTATTTGTGCCTGAAGGATGAAGTCTTAGAAGGGTGTTGTGTGTTTGTGTGTGTGCTGACACATCTATTATGTGTTTCGTGCATGTTTATGCACCTATTCTGTTTATTTGTATCGAGCAAAGATGGACATTAAACACTACCGCTTCAAATTCCCTTCCCTTTCTTTGGCCTAATTGGATTTCTCCCACATTGATCTTCAAAGGCCCGCAGCCCTCCTCCCCACTCCTCAGGAGAGGGCCCACACATCAATTGCACGGCAGTTTTTGATAGTTTCATTAAGAGTGTAATTAATGCTCATTAATATGCATAAATGGGAAGCAGTAGCGGGCTGCAGCGCAGACGATGTATCTCTCTTACTGAAAGGCATAATTAAAGTGTGCTGAAAGCGGAGAATAGAACTGTCCTCTTTCATTGCTCTCTTTGAGATAAAGCCTGAAGTGCTATCCACACACAATGGCAATGCCTCAGCATTGACAACTGTCAAAACTTGGCTCTACTTCTGCATGCAAATTCAAACTAATATTGTTCAGAGATCGTGTCTTGATAATAGGGAAAAGGCTGGTCATATCATTATGGTACTCATTATGCTTCTACTATTACAATGACCCAGTTCAACCAGTTCTCGATCTGCCAGCCTTAGGATGGTTCACCTTAAGCTCAATTGTGATATATACCAAAAACAAAAATATAAAAAATAGATATTATATTGAGATAAACCATTCAATTTTTTTTTCTTATTACATTGAATTTAATTATTTGTTTCCGATTGGGAAATTCAATTGGACTTAATTGCATGAAACTAAGTCATTTTTGCCCATTACTCAAGAGTTAATATGCTTCGAATGAACATGCACAAAAATGACTTATAGGATAACACGACATTTGGACTCCGACAGTAATTCCATTTATTTTCCCTTTGCTATGAACCTTATTTATAATTCCCTTCATAATCAGATGTAATGTATTTCTGTTTATAACATATATGTAGATCAAACTCTGTATCTGCTGTGCTTTATTTACTCACTCTGTACTCTGCTGTTATTGAATTCTGTCTCCTTCCCTTCACCCTTTTTTCTGTTTCCACTGCCTTTCTTTCTTTTTCCTCTCCTTTTCTTTTTCCGTGATGGAAGCTAAGCGAAGCCAGTCCATCAGCAACTGTGTTCATCTGTACGAAGCTTTGCCCAATGCTAAAAGCGTTCCTATGCTTCTCCACACTGTGAGCTCTTTCTTGCCTGGTATCTCTTCTGGTAACTCTGCTTGCTCTCACAGACTCTCAGGTAAAGTGTGTTATGAGAGCTGCGTGTGTTGATGTGTTTGTGACCTCCGCCCTTCCTTTCAATCCATCTGTCACTATCTGTTATAAGCTGTCAGTTCCCACGTCTGCTGTCACTGAGAGGTTTATGTTTGAACAGGAACTTCACTGCCCTGTGCTTTACTTATTGTTAAATGTGTTCAATCTCTAGGTAGAAATGCAGTCTTTAACTAGAGTATGTCTGTGTCACCACTGCATGTGTGCATGTCATTATTTATCTCCAAAGTTCTCATGAATATGTTAAATCTTCATCTTTACTCTGTTTTAAGTCCTTAAAGACTACAAATGAGATGTGAAGGTGTGTGTTGTGCATGCTGTTTGGCTCTTGTGTCTCTGCCTGACTCCCTCTCTTCTGTTCTCCTGTGTGTCAGACGTGGATGAGGGTCAGCTGTCAGAGTGTGGGGGGGAGGAGGAGCTGGGAGGCGGGGAAAGCCCTCTGCCACGTAGCAGCAGCACCTCCGACATCACTCAACAGCTCTCTGACACTTTACCAGGTACATACAAACAACACCCTGAATTGTTGTTCCGTACACGTTTTACCTCTGATATTAAAACCTTGGCCTCGCACTGTTTGTTTTAAGAAGAGATTTAGAGATTTTGTAACCCATTGGTTAACTTCAAAGGGAAAAGTCATTTGCCAGTAAAGTTTCTCTATAATTAATCACAACCCCTTATAATTTAATTAAATCCAATCTAATGACTTAAATCAATAGTTGTTTATCCTTTAATGTTTACTAGATTTCAGCAGTGGTTAAGAGACTCATATCCTCAGCCTAACTAAAAATTGACATATAACAGTCTGAAATTACACGCAACACTTTTGTTTTTGCTCCCATTTTTCATGAGATGAACTCAAAGATCTAAAACATTTTCTATATACACAAAATAACCATTTCTCTCAAATATTGTTCACAAATCTGAAAAATCTGTGATAGTGAGCACTTCTCCTTTGCCGAGATAATCCATCCCACCTCACAGGTGTGGCATATCAAGATGCTGATTAGACAGCATGATTATTGCACAGGTGTGCCTTAGGCTGGCCACAATAAAAGGCCACTCTGAAACGTGCAGTTTTGCTTTATTGGGGGGGTCTGGGGGGGTCCGAAAACCAGTCAGTATCTGGTGATAGGGGTAGGGTTAGGGTAATGTTGTGAATCGAGTGGCCTGTGTTCGTCGTCCATAACATACGCCTGCCCATACCATAACCCCACCACCACCATGGGCCACTCGATTCACAACATTACCCTAACCCTAACCCTACCCCTACCCCTCACACCAGATACTGACTGGTTTTCGGACCCCCCCAATAAAGCAAAACTGCACGTTTCAGAGTGGCCTTTTATTGTGGCCAGCCTAAGGCACACCTGTGCAATAATCATGCTGTCTAATCAGCATCTTGATATGCCACACCTGTGAGGTGGGATGGATGATCTCGGCAAAGGAGAAGTGCTCACTATCACAGATTTTTTCAGATTTGTGAACAATATTTGAGAGAAATGGTTATTTTGTGTATATAGAAAATGTTTTAGATCTTTGAGTTCATCTCATGAAAAATGGGAGCAAAAACAAAAGTGTTGCGTTTATATTTTTGTTCACTGTACTTTTTCAAAGTGATGAGTTCAAAACGTTACTTAAGTTAAAGTACAGAAATATTATCAGCAAGATGTAGCTAATGTTGAAAAAAAAAGTACTCGTTATTCATATAGGCCCCTTTCACAGTGTAACATAAGACAGTTAGTGTTGCCGTGATTGTTTTTTTAAGTGTAACATGTAGGGTTTTTTGGGAAAAAGGAACTCTTTGTATTAATGATAAATTGAGTAAAACCATTTCCATTGATAGTCCGTCCCTGGATGTTAAAATGGAACACATGTTTGCCTATCGAATTAAAGTTGAGGACATAAAGATAGTAGTAAAACAATATAAGCTTTTAAGATAACTTAATTGTGTCTTTTTTGTCCCTTTTTTAAAATACCCCCTGTCACACTCCAGCCCAGAAGAGAGAGAGCTCCCCTACTTCCTGTGGCTCTGATAGCAGGACGTCTGAGGGGAAGAGAGAGGTCAACGAGCCACCAGTGGTGAAAAGAATCATCTTAATATATGGTCTTAAATTAACTAAATAACATTTATCAATAAAAACATCTCTTCTTAAATGTTTGTTTCTGTTTTCCTAGATTCTCATCCGGCGCTGCAGCAGTCCAACTGAGACAGAGGTCACCGCTGAGGGACAGTCAAACCAAGCAAGACACAAGCTCAGAGAGAAAAGTTAGATATTACATCACTAATTATTACTCTAATATGATAATCGCTGTTTTAATTTATATAATCCACATGAAGATTTGCTCAATCAGTTAATCAAACATGAAAGTATCTAACAGAGGCCATTCTTTGCATGTATTAATGAGTCAGTCTTCAAACAGCAAATGCCTTCCTTCTACTCTGTGTTCAACTTCTTTAAGTCCTTTATCCACCTCATTCTCTCCACCCAGGTGAGAGTGTAAGCAGTGAGACGTCCAACGGCTACCTCAATGATGCTGAGGTCACCTGGCAGGCGTTTGATGAGGAAGCGGACACTCAGTCCACACAGTCGGCTCACATGGACGTGACGGCGGACCCCCAGAGCCAGGGGAGTCTGCTGCTCAGCCATAATGAGGCTCTAGCAGGTATGGGGACGGATAAGAGTTCACCTTGAGTGCTAAGAGAACAGATTTGGGGCATTATTCAATATGTCTACAATCAGTTTGAAAAAAATTACAAGCATACAGAGCAAGGTTAACATATTTCACTCCATCGCTCTGTACCATATATCATAAACCTGTTTGGTTCTATTCAAATATTATATATATATAAATAAGTGTCGAGTTTATAAAGGCTTAGGACTTTATGATGGAAGTATGTGACGGCCCCCCCAGGCTCTATTATGTGTCAAGTCATTTTGGTTGATGCTTTCAAAGATTTGGTGATAGATTCAACAATTTTCAAACATTCAACACTTAATACAATGAGCAAAAATCCCTTCAAAATACCACTTTAAGAAACAAATACCTGGTAGCCCCACGCAAAAATTCCTGCTGCAAACTTTTTAAATGAATAGATTTCTGCAAGATTTGCATTTTTTGGCATTTGGATATCAAGCCCATTTGTTCTGGAAACTGCTTAGAAACCCCCCTATTGTCAATGTACTTAAACCAGCCATATATCCTCTGAATTCCCTAAATATATCGTTTGTGGTTGTAAAGTAACATGAAGTTGTGATTATCCTAGAGTTCAAAACAGCTAATGTTTATACAGTGAGCTCAAGTTTCCCAAAATCACTACAATGAAAGGGCTTCATTGAGGACGAACATCATCAAACATCAATACAACTGGGCCTAGTTCATTCCCAAAATGGTCAGATATCCAGACAAACACAATTTATGCAATTCCAAAACGTTAGTAACCCTAGCCTAGTGCAGAAACCATTGTTAAAAAAAGCAAATAATAACACATTTATACAAAAAAAAAAAGCCATGTTTTTTTGCCCCAAACTGCATGGAATCAGTGTGGTTTGGCTTGTCTGTAAAGGTTAGACTTGTGGTTATCCAGAGAAACCACTTTCATCAGATATGTATCTTGATGCAAACATAGCAATGACATTGTGTCCCTCTCAGAAATGTTGCCTAATTTAGGAGCAATACTTAGTCTCTTTCCAGACAAGCTCATGACATAATTGATACTAATGAATCCCTTGGATTACTACCCTACCCCTAGCTTTATAACTGAAACCGCTACAAAGGCAGGTCGGCTGTGGAAGAGGTAAAAACAGGGTTAGCAGTACAGCCGTAGAATTTGACCGTTTAGAATTCAAACAACTTAACCCCAGATTAGCTGTTAGCCATGCACGCTCAATAATGGAAGATGAGTTGAAAGAGTTCAGCAGCGAGTTCATCTGAGGTGTGTCCCATCCAGCTGCCTCCAGTTACCTCACTGGAGGCGACAATGGATTAGCATTAGCCAGGTAGAGTGACCCGCTGAGGAAACTTGATCATCAGTATCTGCTACAGTACCTCTCTGGCTTAGTCATTTCATATTTAAACCTGCTTGACAGTATGTGTTGGAGTTCATTTTGACATTTTGTGAAGGCTGAGTGGTCAGCGGTCTACTGAAGTATTTCTGTCATTTGTATTTTGATAGGAAAATAATGAAGATCGCTGAAACTCTTTAGCTTTAAATGTACCCACCCCTCAATCATTATTGATGTTGAGATTCTGTTCCCCCCCCCCACCCTTGCATGTGAACTTGTGTCTGTGTCGTCCCACATTGTGATCATCATGAAGTTGTCACTCTTCCGTTGTCCCTGTGCTCCCCTCCTCAAACCCAATTTGATCCCTTCCCCCTTGTCCTTTTTAGGTCCCGAGTATCTCCTCCCTCCCCACTCTGCACCCCCGTCCTTCCACCACCACAACCACTACCAATACCCCCAGCACCCGCCCGCCTCCCCGGCCCTGCTGGTGCACACAGAGTGCCCCATGGACGACACCATGCATCAGTCTGTCTTACACATGCCACACCACCTGGGTACTGCTTCCTAGCTGCTACTCATCATATAGACTCATATACCATTGACTCTCCATGCTCTACATTTTTCCAGCCTTACCGTTACTTCCTTCACTTACACTACATTTATCCATGTTGTTTTGTTCCAATTGACTTGATTAAATGCACAACATTTAAAAATGAAATGGTTTTCCTTGGAACCAAATTAGCATTTAGCAAGTCCAACTTTGATTGAGCCTCAAAGAGTTGAGACAGCTTTCTTTTAATTAGCACTTCAGATCTTCTACACACACTTTCACTTTTTGTGTCTCCTTCCTGACCAGTACTCCCCTTCCCTTCCCATCGGTCTCCTGTTGCCCACTTGGTGGCGCTGTCCTCAAACAGTTCAACCTGACTTCATTTGGATGATGCATGTGACTCCTCTCTGTTTCCCAAAAGTGTTCTATCCTTGATTCTGTTTGAGGGTCCACATAACTGAGTATTTTGCTGCATTTGGGAAAAATGCACAGAGAGGATTTTGTCAACAACCGCTCACACAAGGACGGCATTGAACGTTCATTTATTTTATGTATTACAGACGAGTATCTCAATTTAAAATACTTTTATAAAAGGTGTTGTGCATTTGTTGACTGAATCCCATTACTTCTTTTAAATGTATTATAATTTACTTTTTATAATTTACTGTCAGCTACAAATGAACATTTTACGTAATAATGTATTTTCACCCTGAACTCTCTCTGACCATGCAGACAGTAGTGAGTGTCTGGCTGATGACGTCAGCATAATTGCGGGTGGGACCCTGACTGGATGGCATGCTGACTCGGCCTTTGTCCTGTGGAGGAGGATTTTGGGTATCCTTGGAGATGTCAACTGCATCCGCTGCCCAAGAATCCATGCCAAGGTCTTCTTCTGCCTTTATGAGCTCTGGCATAAGCTGGCCAAGGTAAAGCAGACGGGACCACAAACGTAATGCCTTGCATAGCTTGGTTCTCTTTTTTACTTCCTGTCAGCTGTTGCAAAGATAAAACATGTCCAATAACTGAAAATTATGTTTATGATATGGTGCCTTTTTTATTTGAGGTAATATTGTGGAATTTGAACACAGAAGCCTTTTTGTATTCTTTACTTTCTCACATAAAGATTACTCCCACTGGTTTTGTTAATTGACTGAAAGTGACTTACAGATCCGGGACAACCTCGGGATTAGTGTGGACAACCAGTCGTCTCCTCCCCAGCCCGACTACATCCCTCCTCTTCGAATGCTGGCCTCCTGGCTCTTTAGGGTATCAACAACACACAGGCACAGCAGACAATATTCACAAAACAACAATTATGACAACAATAATGGAATACCTGCAGGCATAAAGAAAGAAAATTGCAAAAAAGTGTAGAGAACGTTTGGATATTACCATGTCCATAATCCAAAGCATTCTCATTAATCATTATAGTTATTTCATTGTTTTCTAACCTCATGTCTTTATCATTTAAGTACAATATGTTATATGTGTTTTCTTGGGGGAAGTGCCCTAATTCTCAGAAGGCAATTTGATTAGCAGCAACAAGTTATGAACAGACAGTGTGACTAAGAATGTTTTAATTAGCATTGACTTATCGACTGTATCATTAACAACAACAAAAACAAGAACGTTATATGTGATATTCAAATAAAGAATTTGCCTCATTAATAGAGACAAGCAACGGCAGTGTTTTCAAAATTGGACAAAATCGATATACATCTCGAATCCTCTCATCATAATAGATAACAGTTTTCAGCTCGTCATGATAATACTGACCCCCCCCCCTCCCTCTACAGTCCACCATGCTGCCATCTGAGTACAAGGCTGGGAAGCTGCAGGCCTTCAAGCTGATCTGTGAGATGATGACCCGGCACCAGGATGTTCTCCCTAACAGCGACTTCTTGGTGCACCTCTACCACACCATGCACAAAGGCATTACCAGCAACGACCAGGTACAGCCAGCAGGGGGCGCCCACAGTATGGCTGCCAGTTGTGCTTTTACTCTCCAGTAGATGGCAAACCAGTCAAACCCATGTGATGCATTTGCATTGGTCCTGTTTTGAAAAACTGTACAATTTTTAAGGTTTGAAGTCCCAATTTGGCTTTCCTGTGTGAAATGATGTCATATTCACCTGTTATTTGTTGGTGTAAATCAGGTAGCCCTTGGATTATTATCCACACAAAATATATGTCTTGTGCCAGACTGTACCTGCCAGGATTTAGGGGTCATATAGGTCCTGCAATTAAAGCTACTGTTCAGCGGTTGATTTTGAAAACAGCGTGCCAACCAGTGGTGATGAAGAATGCTTCAGTGTTTTGGCATCTTCCTCCTCCTTTAGCCACACCCTTCCTTGTATTTAAATCTGGCCCTGCTCCATTCCTCCCAGACGAAGCTGAGTGGAGATGAATGGAGTCCCCCCAAAACAAAGGACGGGATAAAAGTGTGTGTGGGTGGGGGGGGGGGGGGTGTTTTGGATGCAAGTGTGTTTGAGTATAAATGCCCTCCTGGCTTGGTTTCTATTGCGCCTTGGCAGTGCGACAAGCTTATTAGAATGTTTTCCATGTCGTTAAATAATGTTTTGAGCCCCTGCCGCGTATACGTGATTAATTAAGGATTGACGTCTGTCGCGCTCCGTTGGACTGACACGTCGGCAAGGGGCCCGGAGTAGGCCTGCCTGCTGTGTGTGTGTGTGTGTGTGTGTGTGTGTGTGTGTGTGTGTGTGTGTGTGTGTGTGTGTGTGTGTGTGTGTGTGTGTGTGTGTGTGTGTGTGTGTGTGTGTGTGTGTGTGTGTGTGTGTGTGTGTGTGTGTGTGTGTGTGTGTGTGTGTGTGTGTGTGTGTGTGTGTGTGTGTGTGTGTGTGTGTGTGTGTGTGTGTGTGTGTGTGTGTGTGTGTGTGTGTGTGTGTGTGTGTGTGTGTGTGTGTGTGTGTGTGTGTGTGTGTGTGTGTGTGTACGCAAGTGTGTGTGAAGGAGCGGGAGGGGAGCCTGGGGAACGTAGTGCAGTGTAAAGCAATGAGGGGGGCACATTGAGGGACAAGGCTACATTCTCTAGCTTTTGTTGTGGCTCTGTATAATGCGTCGGGGGGGCCAGAGCCAGGCTGGCCACTGAAGCATGCTCAAATTGGCCGGAGAAAAGAGTCCTCACGCCACACAATAGAGGACAGCCGCACGCCTGCTTAACATAAGAAAGTGGCTCTTACTCTCCCCCTCCTCTTTCCTCTCTGCCTTCACCCGAAACCCCCACCCAAATACAATTTTAAAAAAGCAGGAAAAAAACATATACATTTCCAAATCCGTCATACATGTAAAAATATTTATTTTTCATGCAATCTTATTTCAATTAGCTTGCATAAAAGTAGCCATCAGTACAGACTGCATCTTACATGATACTGCAAATAGTAAGTTTAAAAAATGGTTTTGTTTTTGTCGTTATTCTCTAGTGTGTTCTGTACATGTGTATCTTCAAATATTACAGTTACAGGTCCAGTATTATTTTGAGGCTACCTGTCTATCAAGAAATAAAAAGGTGCCCTAAACAGCCTTTGTTTTATAGACAACAGGGGAAGCCCAGTGTCAATCCTCAACATTAAATTCACCTAAGCTTAGAGAAATGACAGCTTCCTTTGGAGGGGTTCTGCCTCCATCTGACAGAGTGCCAGGGTCAAGGCTATTGTCCTGGCTGTCATCCTCTGGTCAGGGTCTCACAAAGGCACGGCCAGAGCACAAAGGCAGTAATCTATCTAATAGGTCTACTGTCTGGACTGCAATAGTCAACGGCATTTTGTGTGAGGTTTGCTCGTGTTTAGATAAAAAAATGATGTATTACATAATTATTTGTTGAGATAAATCATATTGATATGTTCTTAACACACCAGATAATCTAGCTCAAACTAACGTTTAACTCGCCAGGTATTAGTGGAAGGACATACTTCCTCACCTGGGCTTTCAGACCAAATCTTTGTAAAGAGGGCCTATAATGCTCATTTTCAGGTTAATATTTATATTTTGTGCCTCTACCGTGACATGTTTACATTAGGGCTGTGCATCTTCACTGGTCTCACGATTCGATTACGATTATCCTGTCTTCGATTCGATATCACGATGCATAACAATGTGTTGCATCCTCAATTTTCTATATTACTACACATGGCTTCTTTCACATGCAGTAAGATAAATATGAACTCCCTTTTTATTATTTATAAAGTGCGTCAGAAATCAATAACATAAATGTCTTGACATTAAATTATAAACCAAAGTAAACCAATTGTATAGCTCTAGCCTCCCTATATCTGTGTGAAATGTTTCCATCCTCAAAAACTAAAAAATAATGCTTCTGCAGTCTAGCTGCAGCTTCTAGCTACGGTCTTCTGCTAAAAAAAGGACACAGAATGTCCTGAATGTGGCATCACACGCAAGACTTGAGTCTGAACACATCAGACAACAGGAGTATTTACTACAGCATATAAAAACAAAAATGCTGCATGTGTGTGCACACTTATTCTCTGTCGTACTGTTACATTAACCCCATGATTGTAGGAGATTAAGTTAGCTTCATCATATCTCAATCAGTGATTAAGTGAATAATAAAGTTTCTATCAGGTACTATCAGCCTGTCACTCATTATTTTCAGGGGGGGAGGCAGGGTTTGGAGCAGCAGAGAGGAGACGCTGATCGCGGAAGCTTTCCTCCTGCCTTCAGAAACTTTACACACGTATTTATCGTCTGAAAATAGCAAGAGGACATTCATACTCTGCAATCCAAGACTTGATTAAATCCACAAAAAACCTGACGAGACGATAACGAGTGTTTTTCAAAAAACATAAATCGATGTGTGTCTCTGAGCCGCAGCGACACAGCCTGATTTAGAGCGGGTCCTTCTGCTGTTGGTTCTGGACTGGTGCTGGTGTTGGTGGAGAAAGCAGACTGCTCCGTGTTTGGAGTCGCTGTGCCGCTGTCACGTCTGTTCCCTGATCCCTGCGTCACCGACCAATTTGATATTCGTGTGACAGAAAAAAAGAAAGAAAAAACGTTATTGTCCAGCAAATTGTCCGGAAGATCAGGAAGCAACGTTACTATGCTATAATCGATTATGTTCTGTCCCTGCATCGATGCAGAATCGTCTACGTCCGCATCACGATGCATCGTAGAAACGATTAATTTCAACACCCCTAGTTTACATACTTTAATGTTCACATAGGTCTTTATTTCGGTTATACTGCCTGTTTCGCAGCACCTTTTTTCACCCTCTGTCTGAAACCAGATTCCAGTCTGCTCTGATTGGTCAGCTGGCTGGTTCTGTTGTGATTGGTCAACCACTTAGACTAATGAGCCGGACTTCTCTATCACGTTCAATGTGTTTGAGCATTAGCCATTAGAGAAACATGTGTTACAAAGTGATGTACCTTTTGTTACAGAAGTAAACAAAGGAGTCCAATGGAGGGGTTTCAGTCAGGAGGGGAGTGTGTGGGAGAGAAATTCCCTCTGGAGGGAACTTTTAGTTTTTAGCCTTTGCAGACCATTTACTTGCACACAAACCTATAATACACTACAGATTATAATAATAATAATAGATTTATTTTGTTAGCGCTTTTACAGGTGCTCAAAGACGCTTTACAGATAAGGGAAAAGAACCCCCCCAAAAGCATGAAAGGGTCTCTTGAAAGAAATGTAAAGAGGTCATGTATCAGTCACACACTGAGAGATTAAAATGTGCCAGTTGACCCCCTTAGCCACACACGTGGTTGTTGATTAAACCGCTGGCCTTGTACAGTAGTTATGCAGGTGGGTTATATATCCCTTCCTAACAGCTTGTATAAGGAAACCCCCACATATTCATAGTGATGATAGCAATTGCAACAGGAAATCTGGCCAATACTTTACTGGAAGTGTCTCGTGTTTCGTAAACCAGGAAAAAAAACCTACATGCCAGATACTGGATTGAACCCTGTCACCTCAAGGGCCGGCAGGTGGAAAGAGCTTGATTCCTTTTGAGGCGGAAGACCAAATGAAAAGGCCTGAAGTGGCTCTATTCAGAGTCACGTTAATGCACCTTTTGTTGACACAGGGGGCCGTTTCTCCTGCCAGCACACGGCTACATGTGGGGCTCAAAATCCCATTTCTATACACACACCTCAAATCAGGTTCCCCTACTTACACATACAATAGAAAAACACTTTGCATTCTACCTCTGTGGCTTCCTCCTAAAATGCTCATTTCAGGCAATCAACATCAGTTTGTCGCATGCTAATTACCTCTGTCTGCAGTGCACATTATGTTTCAAAGTTCAATTACCAACAAAATAAGGGGAAAATGGGCCCTCGATTCCTAAAGCTCTACCCACCAATTTTCCACATGCGGTGCACCATGTTGGATTGCCTCTGCGTTTTTATTCTTTTCCTCTTTTGTTCACCTGCAGTCCCTGTTTACCAAAGCTTCAGGTGATTAATGTCCCAGATAGAGCTGGTGCAGTGTGTGTGCAGGAGACCGAAACTGTGTGCATGTGCGTGTTTGCTAAGGTGCCCTACGGTTCAGCTAGAAACGCTGTTGTTTGAACTGTCCGATTTACACAAGTTTATGGCCAAGACGGCAGGTGTTTCCAGCCTGGACCTTGCCTTTGTACACACATACGCACGTCTCAGATAAGAGAGGGAACAATCTCTGCCTCGCTGATAAGGTGCATTCTGATACCAATATGTTTTAGAGTGTCAATGCAGAGTAAAGAGAACCATTCCCGTTCTATATATATATATATATATGTCATGGAAAACCTGTTAAGAGCTCTCCGCGCTCCAGCATGGTATTTCACTGTACATACTTGAGCACTTTGTGCAGAGCCCTCTGCAGCGCAGCATGTGTAAGTGTTGTAAGAGCACCCATCTGCCACAGAGCCGCCTGTACCTCGGCGAAACAATACTTTGTTTCCTGCTTTAATTACAGGTTTGCCTGTGTGTATATACATAGGACTGACCAAAGTTGAGGTCTTTTGTTCTTTCTCTTATCCTCTGTGAACGATCCATCTGCTGCCCTCACTTTCTGTTTTTTTTCTTTCTGTCCTTTACAAACATGTGCTGTTGAGTACCTTACTCTCCCCAACACATTTAAAATGCTTATCCTAACTGTCGGAGGCAAAAGCTTTCTCCCTCTCACATGGTGGCCCATTTGCCAAATATTTCTGCTTCCCTCCCCCACCCAAACAAGACCATGTGCTCATACCAAATTCACAAAATCCTGTTGACTGTAAAAAATTGCAGATGGGTGATGGATGTTTATTCCTGTAGCATGTTGAGTCATTGGTGGATGGGTATTATCATAATAATGCATACGGGGAAAATATAGTTTGCCTCCTATTAATAGTATTTGTGCATGTCATCAGGATGTTTTGAACACCATCATCCGTGCCTGCTCTCCACGTTTCTTCTTCCTCGGCCTGCCCGGCTTCACCATGCTTGTTGGAGATTTCATCACTGCCGCTGCCCGCGTCCTCAGATCTGACTCCTCAGAGGTACGCGCACACTCTCCACATCTACATTTGTCATGAGATTCAAACTCAACCTTAAAAATGTTGTTAAATATTATATCTACTTAAACGTTTTCAGGAATGTCCCAACTAAAAAAAGAAAACCAGAATTCCTCCTCATACATGGTTGTCTTTAATAAATGTGTCAATGATTCTCTCACTCTCTTGTATCTAATGGGTCTTTAATTATTATTATTATTTTTAATCCAGTAGTTATAAATTGGATAAAAACTTATTTTTCTCTTCTTTTTCTTTCTTCTTCTTTGTAAGACTTTGCAACTTTGACTGAAATGAATACCAAACATATTTTTATTTGTATTGAAATATATTATTCATCCTGAGTTTTCCTCAATCTTTTGAAAGTAAATAGCCTAATGGCACAATAAGAAAAGGACATTGTACTATACATATTAAACAAAAGGAAATTAGCCTATACTGCTGCCCCTGCATTTCTTTGTTTTATTCTTTTTATATTGTATTGATTATATATTTACAATCCAAATGAATATCAGACAGAACAGGAATATAAACAATATTGTAAAAAAAACGGGTACGGTCGATAGCCTTCCAGAAGTTCTTATGAAGGTCCAAATGTTCCAAACAACCCCCAAAAAATGTACCACCTCATTTTGTCGGGGAGACAAATAAGATAAAATGTCCAGA